TGGGAGAAAATGTGATTTTCATTTTGATGGCAATTGTGCAGCCTTGTCCTCTAGATGCACTACGACCCATGATAAAATCCGAAATATGACAATTGACCGACGCAAGTGCATGTTTTTCAGTCCAGTTTTACACTACATGGGCAACAAGAAATCATTTACATCATGTTGTGTCTCTACCAATGTTGACCGCGTTTTAGACCCTTGGACTGTAGCTTGTTAAAAAGATGCACAGTGGATGACATGCAATGACGATTTCAACAAACTTTTCTCCCACGTGTCTCTGAGATTTGTGTTTTTATCCCCATTACATGTCCAGTTAATATTTCCCAGTGCAAAGCAAATACACAAGACAGTTGTTTAACACATACAGTTCCCTCCAAAAGTATTGGAACGGGAAAGCAAAGTCCTTTGTTTTTGTTGTTCACTGAAGACGTTTGGGTTCAAGAGACAAGAGTTCAGAATTTCTCCTCTCATTTCCTGGTATTCACATCTAGATGTGTTAAACAACTCAACATACCACGTTTATTTGAACCCACCCATTTTTCAAGTGAGCAAAACTATTGGACCATGTGGCTGTCAGATGTTTCTTGTTGCCCAGGTGTTGCCTTTTAGGTGATTGTCCAAATATTAAATATCTCTGCATGACTAGTCTAAGTTTTCATCCTTGGTTCAAACCTATAAAGACTGCATTTCCTGTTAAAGAGGATAAAGCAACATGAAGACCAGAGAGCTGTCTGTGGGAGAAAAGCAAGCCACTGTCAAGCTGAGAAAAGAAGGAAAATCGAGCAGAGCCATTGGACAAACATTGGGCAGAGCAAGCACAACAATTTGGAACGTCCTGAAAAAGAAAGAAACTACTGGTGTACTGAGCAACAGACGTCCAACAGGTCGGCCAAGGAAAACAACAGTAGCTGATGACAGAAATATGGTGAGAGCTGTGAAGAAAACCCCCAAAACATCAGGAAGTGACATCACCAACGACCTCCACAGTGCAGGGGTGAAGGTATCACAATCCACTGCTGGAAGAAGACTCAGAGCAGAAATATATAGAGGCCACACCACAAGATGCAAACCACTCATCAGCAGGAAGAATAAGAAGGCCAGATTGAAATTTGCTAACAAGTACAGAGATGAGCCGCAAAAGTTCTGCAACACAATCTGATGGACTGATGAGACCGAGATTAATCTCTAGCAAAGTGATGGAAAGGCCAAAGTGTGAACTGCTTATGATCCGAAGCACAAGCTCATCTGTGAAGCACGGTGGAGGTAATGTCATGGCCTGGGCGTGCATGGCTGCTTCTGGAACATTAATATTTATTGATGATGTGACTGATGATGGTCGCAGCAGAATGAATTCAGAAGTGAACAGAAACATTTTGTCTTCCAGTTTACAGAGAAATACATTGAAACTAATGGGGAGGAAGTTTATCATGCAGCAGGACAATGACCCAAAGCACACTGCCAACAAAACAAAGGACTTCATCAGGGGGAAGGTGGAAGGTTTTAGACTGGCCAAGTTAATCAGCTGACCTAACCCAACAGAGCTGCATTTCACCTCCTTAAAAGGAGACTGAGGGAGAAACACCCCGAAACAAACAAGAACTGAAAGAAGCTGCAGTAAAAGGCTGGAATAGCATCACAAATGAAGAATGCAACAGTTTGGTGATGTCGATGGGTCGCAGGCTTGAGGCGGTTATTGCAAGCAAGGGTTATGCCACCAAATATTAAATGTTATTTACTTAAGATATTTGTTCCTTTACTCACCTAAGAATGCTGTGGTCACAAACGGTGGTTTGTCCTGAGTGTTTAACACATCTAGATGTGAATACCAGGAAATAAAAGCAGAAATTCTGAACTCTTGTCTCATCTTTTGATCTTGAACCCAAATGTGTTCAGTGAACAACAAAAACAAAGGAATTTACAATACTTTTGGAGGGGACTGTATTCCACAGTGAAAAGAGCGTTTTTGTAATCACAGTATTTTTTGAAAAAA